CCCCGGATCCGCCCCTCTGGGCGAAGCCTCCCCTCCAGGAACCCGGTTGGTTACAGGCTCCCGTGGGTGTTTGGGGTATAGTTCCCCGGTCTCTTGTGCAAAGCTGAGCGAAGCTGTGGAGACGGCACAAGTTCGGCGGCCACTCTCTCTCCGGAGACTTCCAGAGGCTGCTTTAGCTTAGGGGCGCTCAAGGTAGCGCCCCAGACAGCACCAAACTCTTGACCTCAACTCTTCCCGCTTCCCGCCTCCCGCACCGGCCTCGACTCCCCAGACCCTATTCCGGCCCAGGATCATCTGGGTTTGCTGCTGCTGCTGCTGCTTTGAGCTGGAACTCCTGCCTCCGGCCTCTTGACCACCCAGCGTGGTGGCTAAGTGTGGACCGCCGGGGTTTAGACCCAGCGAACCCGGATTTCTCATCTACAACATGGGGATGAAAATAACTGTACAAGGCTTTTGTGAGGATTTAAATGAGTTTCTATTTAAGGTGCTCAGAACAGTGCTTGGCACATGTTAAATCCTCTGTGTCAGCTGTTAGCATTTGCAGGGTATCACATCACTGTATAAATTGTATTATTTGTTTGGTAACATTATTGTGTCTTATGCTAGAGTTTAGAACTTACGAAGCCACAGGCTTTGCTCAGGTCCCCGCTGTATCTTCAGTGCCTAGAAGAGTGCTTGGTGAAGTGAGGGAGAAAATAGCAGGCTACATAAAGGAAAAGTAGGGGCATGTATAAAGTTCTTAGTCATAATTAAAATGCTGACTAATTAAAATGGTACTAAAATGGTACTTAGTAAAATGTTATACTAAGAAAAGTATCTTTCCACCCACTTTCTGCGAACAAGCTAATGATACTTGGAGAAACTGCTACCCTGGTACATCATTATGTGGCTGGTAGTGTTGTGAATTGATACCCTTTTCTGTAATTTATTTGACAATTCATAGCAAGACAGAATTTGCCAGTCTCCACTGGCCTCAATAAGGTAAGGCCTTGGGACGTGCTTGAAGAAAATAATTTGAAAGGAAAAAAGTAGTATATTCATGAAGATATGCCTCCCACCATTTATAATAGTAAAAATTAGAAAACAACCTAATGTTCTACAATAGAGATAGAGTTAAGTAAAGAATATATTGTAGATGTATGGATGGGAAGTAGAAGTAAGTATGAAAAAATGGACATACATTAAGATAGAGGAATTTGCTATTACTTTTTTTAATGGTTCTTTTTAATGTCAAAATAATATTGTTTTTAAAATTAGTAAACATTGAAAAAAAATCCACACAAAAATACTTCTCTCATGAGACTTTCTTGGAGCTCTTAGCAACAGGCTAGAAAAAATTAATTGGTTTCCCGATCAATGATCCAGGAGCTACTATGCAATCTTGGCTGGTCTCTTATTGTGATATTTAGCCTTGTGGGCATGATTTTCAGAATAAATTGGGAATTACTCACACGTGTGAATAATGACTCTTAGCTTTCTGATTCTCTTGAAGAAGGACGTATTCTTTGAAAGCATGGTTTATGTTAAGAGTAACAGCAGCACTTTCTTGTTTCTAATCTTAGTTGTATTGTTCTAAGAAGCGTTTGTCTTGTTTCTGCTTGTTTCTTTAATCATATTTAAGGAGTATCCATAAGGAGAGCTTTGCCTCCTTGAAAATTAAAGCCTGGTGGTCCTGAGCTATTCCCAGTCCAAATGTCTACAAAATTGAGACAGTCATCAACACTCCTTCCACAAATTTCAGAAGAGCCTGACAGCATTCTGGTAGTGAGGATGGAAGAGAAAGAGGCCTGTAATCTGGAATCCAGCCTCCACTGGAGAAGCCACTATTGCCCAGAGACCTTCCGCCAGAGGTTTAGGCAGTTTGGCTACCAGGAGTCACCTGGGCCCCGAGAGGCCCTGAACCGGCTCCGGGAGCTTTGCTATCAGTGGCTGAGGCCGGAGGTGTACACCAAGAAGCAGATCTTGGAGTTGCTGGTGCTGGAGCAGTTCCTGGCCATCCTGCCAGAGGAGCTGCAGGCCTGGCTACGAGCGCACCGACCAGAGAATGGAGAGGAAGCTGTGACTATGTTGGAGGAACTGGAGAAAGAGCTTGATGGGCCGGCTGAGCAGGTAAGAAGGCATCTGTGGGAATGAGTGACCAGGCTGAGTTAGGACCTCTGGCATGTCATTGTGGGGAGAGCTTGCAAATCATACTTCCACTCAGCACAGTTGGATGTGCAGCAGGGTAAAATGTTCTCCCAGCTGTGCCAGGAAATAGAACATGGCTCTGCTTTTTTCCCTCTCTTTTCCTGTGCCCCAGGATATTGTCTACATAGTTTCTTCTTACTTTATCCTGAAATCCCAACCTGATTCCCTTCCTCAACCTCAAGTAACCTAACTGTTTCCAGGTCCCTGGACAAAATGAGGATATGCTTGCAGAGAAGCTGGCACCTTGGGAAATCACTCAGGAGTCACCAAGTAGCCGGCTCAAGATTGCGAAGCAGCAGCTACAGTGTGCATCCATGGAGCTTCAGTCCTCAAGTCAGAACGGTAAGGGGCAGGATTTAGTTCATAGTGTAGGGCAAAGGTGGCCTGACAGCCCACCACATACATCTTGCCTGCTTTCTGCAGGAGGTCTCAAATCACCCCTCCTGCTTCCTCTTCACTGGGGCAATTTCCACCCCTATATGCTACGCTAAAGAACATTCTCAGTGTTTTGTTCTTGTTTCTCATAGACTCTTATAAAATCTGTAGATTTTAAAAATTCTTGACGTCATCTCCATCAAGGTTTTCAAACCATTTTTAAGCAGCATGACCCTTTTCTCAAATGAAATTTTACGTGGAGTTCCAATATGTAAAATATATAAAATCACAATATGTAAAAATCATAGCTACTCCGACTGAAGCAGGAGCAAGTAGTTTGAGCCCACAAGGGGGCTCCAACTCAGCTTTGTTCCCACCTCTTTTATCTTCAGAAGCCCCCGAGGGACTTTCCTTCTGAAGGACCCCAAGGTCACAGCCTAAAGACCACTGCTCTACATCATCATTTTCTGTGTAACTTCTTGCTCAGTTACTGGTGGGATCTATTGGGTTGTTGAAAAAGTCATGACGCATTTTTGCAATGAAAAACAGAAAAAATATGTCATGACTTTTCCGACAACCCAGTAGTATCAGAATTGCCATATGGCTGCTGAGATGACTTTGCCCTCTTGTGGTGCTTTGCATGTCCACTTCTCTGTTCCCTCCCATTTTAAACTGGCCTCTATTGCTCGTTGCTTCACTTTTTACAGAAGCACTCCAAAATGGCTGGCGTAGCAATCTTTTCCACTGCAGATACTAAAATAATAATAATGATAATAATAAAGTGCTATGGGGAAAACATAAAGCAGAATAAGGGGGAATACATGAAGTGGGGACAGGGTCTTATTAAATAGAATGGTGGAAAAGTCCTCTTTGATGAAGTGACATTTGAGCAGAGTCCCTCCTTCTAGGTGATCATCCTGGATAAAATGGGAGGCAGAGATAAAGAGGGAAACCCGTTAAGGGAATCCCCCCCTACTCATTCTGTATTCCAGGGGTGGCTGATCTGCTAAGCAAGAATAATTTTTTCAAGGGGATTTTGATAAGAAACTAAAGGAAAAACAAAGAACATGTAAGAATTTAAAGAGACATTTAGAAAAGATTTCTCACTCTTACTTGACAAGTATATGCTCCCAAGTGCCTTGTTCTGGGCACTTAACCGCTGCAGTCTAGCAATCATCTTGGCTTCACTAGGAGAAAAGTGAGTCTCTTCACACTCCATCAGGATAGGGCAGGAAACCACCCCAGGCTCCGCGGCTTTGTGTGGTGATGACCAAAGAAGTGATCTGTGACAAAGCCAGGTCCTGGGCTCCTGTTGGCAAGAACCATGTTCTACCCGTGACTGTCCTCACAGAGGCCTTTCCTACATTTTTTTTAGATACATAGAAATTTGAAACCAAAAGCAGCAGGCCCAGGATCTTGCAAGTCAAGGCGGAGAGAAGCAGAATCATGAGCTAACGAAACCATTTCTTCAGGCTGCTCGCTACATGATTTCTGTGGTACAGTCATGTCTTATCAAAGCTTCTGAGGATGACCTTGGTCTCCATGCTATCAAGTGCTAACTATTGCCAAGATTTTGATCATAGAGACTAGACATTGAGGTCACTTTGGAGTATGAGACAAAATCCTTACCATTAATAAGATGATTTCTATTTAAATAATGCCATTCAACTATTCAATTAGTACTATAAAATACTTATAAAAGTAGAGGTTTTTCATAGATGGGTACTCTGTACTACCCTTGATCTCTTGAGGTGTCAGTTATCCTAGTCTGTATTCGCCTCCCACATCCCCATGTTTTTTGGCCTAACTAGTATTTTCTGACCTTATTTTCCATATTCTTTTGTTTTCTTGGGTTTTTTTTTTAAAGATTTTATTGGGGAATTGGGGAAGGGGAACAGCCAAGTTGTTGTCCTTCAGTCTTAGTTGCGGAGGGCGCAGCTAGCTTAGCTCCAAGTCCAGTTGCCATCCGGCTGCCTGTCAGCAGCTCGCGGCCACTCAGCTCAATCTTAGCTGCTGGTGGGCATAGCCCACCGTCCCATGTGGGAGTCAAACCGGAAACCTTGTTGCTAAGAGCGCACACTCTAACCACTGAGCCATCCAGCCGCCTTTCGGCAGCTCAGGGCAGCTCAGCTCAAGGTGCCATGTTTAATCTTAGTTGTGGGTGGGCATAGCCCACCATCCCATGCATGAGCCGAACCAGCAAACATGTTGTTAGGAGCCCGTGCTCTCACCAGCTGAGCCATCCTGCCACCTGTTGGCAGCTCAGCAGCACCTCAGCTCAGGCGCAGCTCACTGGCCCATGTGGGAATTGAACCAGCGACCCTGTTGCTCAGAGTTCGTGCTCTTAACCAACTGAGCCACTCGACTGGCCCCTCCATATTCTTTTTTGACTCTTAGCTTTCTTCATCTCCTTTCTTTGCTTATTATTGATTCATTTATCATTATTAAACTTGTTGATTGACACTCTTGTTTATTACTACCCACTGCCACATTACTGCCACATTTGAGTCCTCTCTTTCAGTTGCTCCTCTGCTTCTGTCAATAATTACTCTTCTTTTAGGTTCTTTCTATTCTTCCAGACTTTCTTCAGTCTCTGACATATCCCTATTCACCATTCTACCTTTTGCATAAAGGTTTTCAGCTTTCTAGTTGACTGCTTTCTCACACTATAAACCTTTCTCTTTTGCCTTATGTCTTAGCATTTTCTCTTACTCTCCCATCCTTCACATTGTGATGCTATTTTACAAACATGCCAAACAATCCATATATATTTCATTTGGTTTAGACTATGTTCCTTTCTTTCTGAACAGAACTGGTGACATTTGCTTTTCTGTGTATTATTTCAGATAAAGACACCAGAACTATAAATATGAAATCAGCTTCAAGGCAAAAGACTTCTTCAGGCACAGAACTGCATGATGATGTTTCTAACACTGTTCATATGAATGTTTCCCAGAGTTTCACATCTAGAGGAACCTGTGAACAAGATGGCAGGTTTGAAAGAAGACATAGAAATCCTTCTCGAAAAAAACAACACAAGTGTGATGAATGTGGCAAAACCTTTAGCCAGAGCTCAGCCCTTATCCTACATCAGAGAATCCACAGTGGAGAGAAGCCGTATGCATGTGATGTGTGTGCAAAGGCTTTCAGCCGAAGCGCAGTCCTGATTCAGCATCGAAGAATCCACACTGGAGAAAAACCCTACAAGTGTCATGAATGTGGGAAAGCCTTTAGTCAGAGCTCGAATCTTTTCAGACATAGAAAAAGGCACACTAGAGGAAAAAGTCCCATCAGTATTGTGAGGGAATCAAAGCATTTACTCAGAGCTTTTTCAACAGAGCAAGAAGACACAGAGCACAAACACCTTCTTAGTATTGATCAGTGGTTTTAAATGGGTACCAGTTTCCTTTTGAAGGTCATAAAAGCCACAGGAGAGAATATGGACTCTTATGTCAGCATTACTTGCTTTTCTGCTTATCAATACAGTGTCAGTTGAGATGTTTGAGATTCTAAAACTTAACTTAGATTTCCATCCTAGGGTAGCTCTTGAAAAGACATGTTCTATTTCCATTATTAACACAAATAATAAAATAGTACAGTTGGCCCTTGAACAACACGGTTTGAACTGCACAGATCTACTTACATGCAGATATTTTAAAATAAATATACAGTCGGCCCTGGGTATCCCATCTGTGGATTCAACCAACTGCAGATTGAAAATAATCCTTTTTTTTTTGCAAAGTGAAAGCAGTTTATTATGAGGTAGTCCACTCCACAGGCAGAGTAGAGGCTGCTCTCAGGCAAGAGACATCCCTGACCCTCCTTACGGCTGTGGTTTTTATTAGTTAAAGCTTTTAAATATGGGAATAAGGGGGAGGAATATTATTCTCCAAAGGGTGGGTTTTTCCAGGAATTTGGGATACACCCCTTTTTTGTCCTTATATGGTCCTCTCCGGAGGTGTCATAGTGCTGGTGGGTGTATCATTTAGCATGGAGATGTATTACAACTATAGTTTAATGTGGCTGGAGATTACTTGGACGTAAAGCTTGTTGCCATTTTGGTCTTGGCTGGTTCTGGCTGGTTTCCTTGTTTCATCTTGATTTATTGATCCTTTGTGTTTAATTGGCAGTTAATGGTTTTTCTTGGAGGCCCTGTCCTGGCCCTATCTCATTCCCCTCTCAGCAATTTTACTCCCATATTCTTTATGGGAAATTGAGGGGTAATGGTCCATCTTCTAGAGCTGCTTCCTAGCTGCCTAGGAACATTGACCCTGCCTGGCGTAGGAGTGAAAATCTCTGGATACCTGACTCAGGCCCCAGGGGCAGGATCTCTTGGATGGTGTCTTCAGCCAGGATGAGTCAGAAACCTTGCATAAGCATCATCTTTACATGGAATAGCTGTAATCTGGAAGGTACAAACTTTACTAAAAGGTTAAATATGCAGGGGCCAAATAGTAGAATGAAGACTACAAGTGTCACTACAATGAGCAGTGAGGTCAAGAGATGTCTGAACCACCAGTAAGGGTATTAAAGATCTCTCCTAAGAATGATGTTTTGAGTCCATCTGCTTGGGTCTTTTCTAAAATTTCTATATTCTTTTTTAGGATCTGGGTTTTTTTCCTACTATCCCAGAGGTATTGACATAAGACAGCATTCCTCCCCAAGCATAGCGTAAGTCCCACTTTCTTGCAGTGAGGACATCAAGGGCCCTCCTGTTTTGTAACACAGGGGTGTTAAGGGATTTTTTTTGTTGTTGTGCATCAAAGATATTAACTATGGCCTTCCATGATTGTTGGATAATGATGGACATACAGTAATACCTTGGTTTGCGAGCATAATTCACTCCAGAAACAAACTACTCTTATTGCAAGACATCACTCATTTACCACGTTAAAATGTATTAGAAATGTTTGTTTGTCTTGAGGAACACTGGCAAACCAAGTTACTCACAATCCAAGGTTTTACTGTATTTTGAATGGCTTGTTCTACCAGAGCGATACCCAAAAACCAAGAGTCCACACGATATGGTGTGGCCTGTTGCCCCCTGAGAGATAATGGGGTTATTGGTGGCCAGGATTCTGAAGTTGAGAGCCTTGAAAACAATATTATCAGTCTGAAGATACAGAGCACCAACTGTATGCATTGTTCTATGCCATTTTATGTAAGGGACTTGAGCATCTGTAGATGTTGGTATCTGCGGGGATGGGGGTTTCCTAGAACCAATCCCCCACAAATACTGAGGGACAACTGTATATTCCTTTTTAGACAAGTACATTTTCCCTGTTGAGAAGGAATGTGTGAGTTAGTATAAAAATAGACATTCGCTTCCATTTCATACGTTGAGCATTAGAGTTCTCAGACCAAAGATTAAGGCACTTTACAAAATTTCTCCCGTTTTGTTTTCTGTTACCATATTCAAAATATGAGCATAGGATTGAGGAGGCCCATAAGACTATGCACCTCAAGACCTAGGCTAAAGTCCAGGGTCATTGTTAGGAGGCAAGTGAGTAAAGGGACTTAATCTCATGAAAACTCCCAAGAGCCTGCACATTATACTCCTGTGTAGGAAAAAAAATCATCTTCACAATGTAATTTAATTCACATCTTAATGTGAAAACATTAAGATGACTCTACATGCTTTCATGGGATGGCCTAAACATAAGGAATGTTCTAATAAATAGGGCTGTCTGTGAGTGCTTATGTAAGGTTGATGCCGTCTTAATAAAAAGGAAAAAGGGCGTTGAAGAAAAGACTGTCCAAGTAAGACTGACTACTGTAACACATGTTGGCAAGTGCGGCATGTTACAGACGCGTACCACAGCTTACTTGGAAAAGGAAACCCTTAGCAGCTGATGACTATTCAGGGTTCTTCCTGGCCCCTTTTCTGGCATAAATCAGCTGTGAACATGTTTCAGGCATCACAAGACAGCCTTTTTAGGGTCTTCTGCATTCTTAATAAGTTTCTAGACAAAGCTGTCACAAAGTAATACCCTGGAATTTGATGCTCTTATACTAATGGGGAAATCACTAAAATTAATTTAGAGTCCACCAAAGTTTTACCCATATTTAATTCAGAGTCCCTGTTTAAATATAGAATGATTTATATGTTATTAAAATTATTCTGACAGTATACAACATAATCTTCCCTTTTCCAGGGATTCTTGCTAAGAGTATGTATTACAAGAATACATGTATTACTGTGTTTCCCATGGTGCCACACATTATGCAACATGGGCGCAAACATAAGAAGTGAAAGTCCTTGGAAGGAGAAAAGGAGCAGCTCATAGTGAACTTCTTTGAGTGGGTTCCTCATGAAGTGTAAACATTTCATTACCGGAAAATCCAACCATCGCTAGCACTTAGAGTAACTCCAGAAACCAATGTGGGATTACAGTGCTCTGCTTAGTATATTGATAGATATAAGATTAGTAGGGGGAGGAGTCAATGCAAATTTAAATAGACTTTTTTGACAGTGATTATATTTTATAGTTCTAGGGAATATGAATATATATTGGGTTTGGTATATTTTCCATTATTAAAAATGTAGGAGTCTTTAGGGCTCATTCTCTGTAAAAAGAGGAATAAGCCATCTATTAAAGCAGCAAATGCCTGAGAAACTGTGTGTATTGTGAATTGCTGTTTAGTATGGAAAGACAGAGTTTCTTAGGTACTATGCGAATAAAATGGCAATCTAAATCAAGTATTCTGAGGGAATTGTCTGTTTTCACTTGGTGCTCCCATAAACCTTAGAAGATTGCATCCTCTGTGAATAATCCGAATCCGCTTAGATAAACATTATCCAAGTACATGATGACTCTTTAAAGGGCATTGCTGTGTACTTTGAGTTAACCTGCACTTACAATAGGCCTTCTAATGAGTAGAAGATGCTAATTTATCTAAATAGAGAACTATATGATTTGGGCTAACATTGATAAATGTTAGCATGATAGTAGTTCCCCCATTAAATTACTTAATTTCCGCAGATAGTAAGTACTCCAAAATGAAATTGATATTTCTTTATGAATTGCAGTTCATCTTGGCCTTCAATATTATACCTAGAATCGAATGTTCCTTCTTTACCTTGCTTCTATTCTCTTTGAAAACATGTCCATCACTGTCCTTAAACCTTCCTGTATCAGGAATGCTTCTGAATGCAAAATCCACATTTTGTAGCTTAAGCAAATAAGACTTTGCATCCAGAAACCTGGAGGCTGAATTGCTGTTGGCTCTCAATTAGCAGCTGGGCAGTGACTGGTCTGGCTGGTGAATCTACTCTCCTTTTGGCCTTTCCCTCATGCTTATTTTCTCAAATATGTGAGAGAGCTGTCCTAGCTCCAGAAACGACATCTGGGGTCAAGTCAGGAGATAAGAGGAAGAATGGCACAGGTATGGCTTTTTCCTTTATTAGGAAAAGTGAAAATTTTCCAAGAAAGCCCAGCAAAATCCTGCTTATGTTCCCTTGTTGCGTATCTGATAAAGCAAGTGTTTCCAACTCTGGAGGGAAAGGAGCAGGGCAGATGGGGATTGGGAACAATTTGGGGTCAGCCAACAGTATTTGCCATACTCCTCACTGGCCACCTAACTCATCATGGGCAGATTTCTTTGATTTTGCCTCCTGCATTACAGAAAAAAGATTACAACTCTTACAACCTCCTACCACAAAATTTGCCAGCTTATCCACACCTCACCCATAATTTCTTCTCTCCCTCCTTTCAGAATGAAACAGGAATCTCTCCTCTCTGGTCCAGCCTCCAGGCAATACTATGGCAGTAGCACAGCAACGGCAGAGGTCACAGGGAAGAAACTTAAACTTACAAGGTGGGGAACCTTTTGCTCTAATCAAAGGAGATTTGGTCCCAAGAGCATGGTGCCAATTTCCATGGTGTTTATTCTCTCTGTGTCCTCTCACTGCTTGGACCATGATGCAGGCACAGTTGAAAGAAGTAAACAGAGCAGGGAAACTAAAACCCCAGTTTTCTAGCTGGAGGATTAGTAAGGGAGGCCTTGGGGAGCCAGAAAGTATTGAGTTTGTTGCAAAGAGGAAAGAGGTCAAGTGTGATCCCCAAAAGTAGTGTGTGAGCTCCTCTGCTCACCTTTAAACTGCACATGCATGGATCTGACTCTAAACAGCAAACAGCAGGTATTGAGAACTGGAGCAACAGAGTAGACTACCACCCTGGTTACTGGTCACAGAGCAGATCCAAATTGCACTGGAATTGTTTGAAAACTGAACTGACATTGGAACGGTAGCCCACACAATGCATATCAGAACTTGTGACCTGTCCCTAACTAAGGCAATTGCCTGCAAAAACAAATCAACCTTCTCCTTAGGGTTTATATGATACTCAGAATCTGATAACATAACATTCAAAATGTGCAGGATAGAATG